ATATTATATATATATATATATATATATATATATATATTTCTGTATCCATAGATTTTTTCTTAGTTCACATTTTAATTATATAACATAAATTTATATAAGAATTTGGAATTATTATATTCGCATATAATATGATATATATGTTTTATAAATGGCCGTTGCATATTTGATAATATAAAATAAGGAGTAAACGGTATAATTGTGTAAACGGCAATGTAACTTTAATTGATAAATGATAATAAATAACTTAAAAAAATCTAGATTAAAAAAAAAAATATCTACTGATATACTGAAATATTTGCTGATGAATAATTATAGGTAGATATATAGTGCTTATTAGCAATTAATTCATATATGTACTTGAGCATTTAAATTCGAAGAAATAATGTACAGTATTTAACAAAAACGTAATAAATGAATTTATTAATTAATTAAAAATTATTACCAATTATTACCAATTAGTAATAACTCCTGTCTTTTGTGATATCTTTTTTTTATATCTATTATATTTTTCTTTTTATTTTTTCAGACAAAAAGATACAAAAATCACATAAAATATCATACTAATTTGAATTTTCAAATACAAATTTTGTATTTATAAATTCTAAATGTTCTTTCTTCAATTAATGTTAAACAAATGTCTATTGGAGAATTTCTTCGTCATCTCAACAATGAAGTGATTAGATTTAAAATGGAAATTTGTCTATAAGATCACAAGTAAATAATGCTCACATTTTTTTTTTTTTTTATTTAAGCAAATTTATAAGAAAAAATCACCTTCACCATTTAGATAATAGAATAAAACTGCACAATATTAAAATTATTTACCACAAAAATAACATATAACACAATATTTTAAAAAACTTCATACACATGTATCTTCATAGAATTATTAATATTTACGAACTGTATAATATAAAACTGTAAAATATAAATATAAAACTGATATACGAAAATGTCAAATTTATTCAATAATGTTTTAAATAAATAATTGAGAAAAAATCAGACCGCAATCTTGAGTGAAAAGCAGCAAAGATTTATGAATGAACTGTAATACAGGTGGATGGGTCGATAGAGCAGCCCCCCGCAAGATCGCACTAGGCAAGGGCGTAGTAATCGATAGAGTGAGGATGAAAAAGGATAGAAGTCGGCTCGAAGCAGACGAAGAACAGCGGAGGCCGTGGAGGGCAGAGTCCATTCAGTAGAAGCAGCAAGGCTGCTATTGATTGCGTGGGTGGTTAGAGGAGAGATGAGTTACCCCCACTTTCAGCCATTCAGCAGCCGCACTGCTGTGACACGGGGTTAGCGGAGGGGAAGGGGCCTTGAAGATGGGGGGAGGTAAAGCGAAGAAGGGTAGCCCGATTACTGGAATGCCGTGGGTGGCTAACAAGAGAGGGGGTTCCAACCCTGTCTTCGATTATACGCACGAATGCAGGCGCACAACCACTTTGTCCTAAAATTGACATTTAGCCCCATACTTTTCGAAAAGTTCACACTTTATGTGTTTTATGTTTATTAAATTTCATTTTCTGCTCGAAATTCGATTATTAATTCGATTATTATTCTGAACTAATAATGAATTACATCGAGAAAAATATAAAAAATATTTGCAAAATTTAATTTTTAATTAGCTGCTTTGTAACATATTTAAAAGGCTAAAGTTTAATATTCTCATAAAATTATACAAAATTTATTAATTTAAACGTTTGATATGTATATCGACGAAAATTGTCAGCAGAAGAGGCATTGTTTATGTTGATTATTCCATCCAGATAAGACTACCTGTTTTGAGACAATAATAGTTCTTTATCAAGATATGAAGGAATGAACGATGTCAATAGCGAAATATCCTCTAGTTTCTTTGTCTTCTATTTCATGTCTTGATTTTATGTCTTGTTTAATTATAATGAACTATATATTCACAGCAATATAGTAAATAATGAAAAATTTGTTTCAATAAATTATATATATAAGTTATCTATCTATATATATAACTTATCTGAAGCATCAAGTAGTTTAGACTTATAGTAGTCAGCCAAAGATTTCCACAAGCCAAATAATTCATTTTATTAATTAATTTTAAAAAAGATAAACGAATACTTTGAAAGTAACTAAATATATCTTTTATATAAATTTAAATGTATTTAAATTAAATTATTTAAGATTTTATTGTTAAAATTAAGATATCAATTTACGTATAAATTAATAATATACGTATTTTATTAGAAATTAAGAAAAGAATATTGATATTGATTTAAATAAAAGATCAAAAAATATTTGATGATGAATTTTTCAATAAATTGAATAATGCAGTGACGCAATTTCTCATTTAGGTTGAGGATACGGGCTACAACGATTTTAAGTCCCAGGGAGAAACTTGTTGCGCAGACGAACCGGAACTTATAAGCTTATTCGTAATCCACGACTCTAGCTTTAGAACAGCTCCAATATTTAAAATTTTCGAATTAAAAATGATTGAATGAAGTTTTTTTTAATTGTTTCATTACATTATCATAGTAAAATATCTTAGTTAGTAGAATATTATAATAATTATATAATAATTGTTAAGAATCTTCAATGTATTAATAGAATTGAAAAAATATAATTTAATGTAACGAAATTATTTTATTTTTCGAACATTATAATAGTATAATATATAATAACATTATAATATTGAATAATAATAAATTTATATAATTCAATAAATAATTATATAATATAATGAAGTTACTTATATAGTATACATAAGTAAAGAATAGTTAAAAAGGGATGAAAAGTAAAATAAGATGAAAAAAAATCATTATACAAAAGTAATTTCTAAAAGATCAAAAATAACCAAAAATATATCATTTATTTTCATATAATATAATTATATAATAATTTTAAATTATCAATTTTATTATATCCATTAGACAGAATATCAAGAGAATAATTTGAAAAAAATAATTTTTTCGAGAATAATTTTTTTATTTATAAATATAAAATAAAAAATTAAGAGAATTTTTAGAAACAGCTTACGAATTGATGAAAAGTTCTTTTGGAATATGAAGAAAAGAGTAGAGAGAAGGAAAAAGAAAAGAGAGAGGGGGCTAAACAGAGCTCGCGTAGAGGGGTTTGAAACGAATGAAGGGGTGTGTACTGGAAGAGGGGGCAGCAAAGGAAGGCGAATAGTTGCCTCGATGATACCACCTCTCTCAGTTGCTTCTCGGTTTCCGGACTGCGTGGACTGGCAGGTTAGTGAATCCAACTCTCGTTCATTCACCAGTTTCTCTTCGTTCCACTCTTGACCTCCTTCCATCCTTGGCACCCTCTCTGTTTCTCTCTCTCTCTTTCTCTCACCCTCATTCTCTACTCCGTGTGTCCGCTGACTCCATTCATGCGACTCGTTCTTTGCTCGCTCTCTCGTTCGCTGCTCCCTTTGATTTATCGAAATTCCCAGTGAAAAATGTTCTTTTTTCGTAATTTCGTTGCTTGATTATTGATATCCTGTCAACGTGTATTAACGGTCAGTATTTCATTCTTTTCTTAATTTTTTATTTAATTTTATTACAAATTAAAAACGGTATTTTAATCTTTGCCAAGTGTTAATAATTGTTAGGAAAAAATTTGTTAACTAAAATGATTTTTTTATATTCTCCTTTTCTTTTTAATTTATTGCAAATTTTTTCCTTTTTAATTTATTCTATATTTTATGGAATAAAAAATTACTTGGAATGAAAAATAAATTTTCATGTCATTATTGATCTTGGAATTTAAAAAAGAAAGCAATCTTTTGCATTTCAATCAGTCATATTTGATGTGTGTGTATTAAAGGAGAAACTGATGAAAAGGGAGAAATGATAGATTCGAGAAACAGCTGTTAGAGATGATAACGAAAAGCAGCTCAATAATTCTTTCTTCAAAAACATAATCAGTAATTCTTTCTTTAAAAAAAGAAAAAAGTATGTATGTAGATATTATATATTTAATATTTTTAATACAAATTGTATTTACTCTTACATACGTATTTTTTAAGAATTAAAAATATGTATAATCAAGAAAATTAAATAAAATGTTATTATTTTTTTCGTAGTTCGTTTAAATTTTTATATTTCATTATTAAATATATTGTCAATAAATATTACTTGAATTATTCAATTATTTTTATAATTTTAATTCATAATAATATCGATAATATTTGTATAATAAAAAAATATATTAATTATATAATATGTATTATCTATATAGAAAAAAAAATTTATAAAGAATTAATAAAATTGTTAAAATTAAAAAAATTATAAAAATTATCTAAGTTCTTTTTTAAATATCTTAAATTCTTGCAAATCGATTCTGAGAAATAAATTAATCAGATAACAATTTAATATTTAATAAAAGATATATTTTTACTCATTGAAATATATATTTTAATAACAACGATGCGATCAAAGAATACGATTAAAATCAAGAATAAAAAATTATTTTGAATCAGAATAATATTGTTTAATTGAATATCCCATTATATATTGAACTGTACAAATGATCAAAGATATATATAACTGATTAGATTATATTGAAGAGAAGGGAAATATCTCACAATCTGACGATATAAAGAAATCAATTTATATTTAATTATGTCGATTATTATCGAGCAAAGTCAATTAAAAAATTCATATTTTTTAAAGATCTTAAATGTAAAAAAGAATGATAAAATAATAATATTAAATAATTGATACAAAAAAATAGAATTTATAAGCACAATATATATGAGAATAAAAATTAGAATAGATAAAAGAAATTTGATAACGTGTCAAATAAATCTTTTTCTAGATGAGTTTCTTATTTTTGATTTTTAAAGTATATGTTATTTATGAATGTAATTTTATTATTTTGATATTGAAGTTTCTCAAATATCATTAATCGTAATTGAATTGATTGCTAAAATTGATTTAGTTGCCATTAGTAAGTTAATTATAAAACTTTCTTGGATTAATAGACAGTAGACATTCAATTACGAGTTCCTTTTTACGAAATTAAGTTTTACGAAACGTAAAATTTAATTATTTCCAATATTCATGCTAATTTTGATTAAGGACTCTTTCATTGATTTATTAATCGAGAAAACTTCTGGAAATTAATCTTTATTTCTTTGAATTTCATTAATATAATTATTGAAACAATACTTCACAATTCGATTTAAAACAGAACATGCCTTTCAAAAAATAATTCTCTGGAAAATTCATAAAGAGTATTTAAATATTTAATATGTAATATTAAATTTTTGCAAATATTTATAAAATATTGTGAAAAAAAATATTTTGAAAGTTCAATTTTAATATCGTTTTTCTTCTATCTAAATCTTAAAGTTAGAGTTATTTAAATTATAATTTCGTTACTTGTTGATTTCATAATCTTGGAAAATATATCAATATTTTTTTGTAACAATGGATGCAAATTCATAAAATACAATTCACGAGATATTGCAATAGTCATATCATTATCCTCATAAGACATCATTTACTATATCCACAATCTATTTACAATCTTTAGAAAAATTTCGACGTATCTAGCAATGATAAAATTTTCTATAATAAATAATTAATCTGCAAGGAATCACCTTCTTTCATCTCTCATCTTGAATCTTGAATATGAACTTGTATATTTTATTCTCTAGAAAATGCGTACTGTGGCCGTATGGACAGCTTTTGTGTTAGCGTACTCAAGCACCCCGTTCGTGACCGGTATACGATACATTGATCCGATCTCGGCGCAATCAGGGAACACCGGCGACATTGCCGAGAAGCGCGTTGACCTGACGGAGCCGACATGCGAAGAATTGAGGGCAATGTGGAGGTACACTAAACGACAAAGCAGAGCTGCTAAAACTACTACCGGATACTCTCTTTATCCCGATCCATTTTCGTATAACGTGTGGAAATCTTATTCCGAATACACCAAGCCCAATCTTAACTACCGCGGTAAGATTTTATGGTGGTTGTGCGTAGCCTACGTCCATGCTGTTATTACTGTTTATATCTGGAAAAAAGAATAATAGAATTTTGTAAATAAAAAAAAAAATTCAGGATATTGGATAAAGAAAATTTGAAATATAAGTATATTTTTTCATAAACAATTGTTTAAATTTAATTAAGATCAAAAAGTTTTTTTAATCGAAAAGCTGAATGAAATTTAATATGGATAGTTTTCTATACAAAAGAAATTTAAAAATTAAAAATCAGAAGTTAAAGAAAGAAGTTAAAAGAGAAAATATATTTCTTTTCTTTCATTAGATCATTACGTTTTATTTATATATAACTTATTTTTTTCTTAAATATCTATTTTTCATTTAAATTATATTCGAATGAAATCGATATCAAGTCGTGATATGACGATAATCTAGGATAATGTCTGATTTGTTTCATACTTGAACTACTATTGTGCGAAATTAATTAAAGAATCTTGTACTCATCATCAATTAAAAAAAATATATATATCTTTGAAAGAAAATAAAAAATTATAAAAATTATTTACAATTTTTAATCTATTACAAAAATCGAATTTTTATATTATTTTTATATTAAAAAATTTTTAATAAAAAATCTCGAATTTACAATATATTTTTTTATTTTATAAAAAGTTATTATATTTGAAACAAAATGATCTTTAATTGTCGATAATTAATAGATATTAAGATTTACTAATAGATTTTATTTATTCTATTTGATAATGATGTGCAGGAAAATTTATGGGGAAACCGCGCAACCGTGCAGGAGGTAGTGCTCCAATTTATGGAAAAATAGTACATAAAGCACCAGCAAGTAGATTAAGAAATGGAATGCGACACTCACCACGACTTTTCAATAAAATCCCGCGCTTTTTCGGAACAATGAATTCTTATCCACCATTGTCGAAAAGTCGTTTTAACCCAATAGTTGGTTCCTCGCAAGCTGGCAGTTTTCAACATTTAAAGGAATTACTTCGTGCTGAACGGGCTCGTGAATTACAGGTTAATAATAAATTATCAGATAACTCATATTAACATATTACAAATAAAACAAACTATATTCAACAAATGTTTTCTTTTTTCTAAAATTTTTTTATTTAATTAAATTAAATCCTTAAAAAAAATTAATGATATAATATTTGAAAATTCTTTCGTATCTTTTTAATGAATTTAGAAAGAATTTATCTAGATTGGGAACTCTTTTATTGTTCAAAAATGTAAAGAAAATCCTGATTGATGAGATCGGACAATTTGTAATATGTTGATTATTCATAATATTAAAATAATAAATTTTTATGGATAAAAATTAAAGATTAAAGAAAATTAAAACAGATAATTTTTAATTTTATTCATTGTTAGATAAACGTTAAAAATTTAAAAGATATTCTTTTTAATTTGGAATTTTTTACGATATTTTTTTCTTTACTTAGTTAACAATTTTAGGAACAGTATAAAGCTGAAGAATTGGCAGAAAAGACATCTACTTTCAAAGATTCTGTAGACAATGAGTATCCTTTCAATATTCTACAATCTCAGAAACAATATCTAAAATCAACATTGGGAATCCCGACGAAAATTAATTATGAATTTGGTCAAGGACGATATGCATCGAATAATGGTCAAATTTGGACAGTGAGTAACAAATGACGATGAAATCTTTGTCACGTTTTATTTATTAAAATTAATGAGAAAGTAATATTTTTGGAACAATTTCTCTAATATTCTTTTATATTGATATAATTATTTCAATCATTTAATATATTTTATTACGATTATATTAATTTCTAAATTTTATAATAATGTCATCTTATAATAAGATTACAATTTTGAGCAAATTAAAATTTAATTATATTTTTTTCCAATATTATAATAATAATATATAAATAATTTTAATAATATCATTTTTCCATTAATATTATAATAATATTTTAAATAGTAAATTCTCATAACAATGATAATCCATTTACAGAGGAATGGACCCCAGACTCGCGAATATTTGTCGCGTTAATATTTCAAAGAACTATTGATGTCTCTCACACAAACAAAGATGTACCAACATATCGGTTCTCTTGATACGATCGCATGCGACAGAACGTAAATGATTCGGATTTGCTTTTTTGGCAATCTTCGACATCCCAAAATTTACGTAAGCAAACTATTTGCGTTTATACTAACAGCATATCGTCGAAAGGGCTTTTCACTTTCGTTTCTCCTCCGTCGTCCTCGAAAATTGCTCTTAAGGCTTTCACTGTCTGGCGCTCGAATTTCGAATCTCTATTCCCTGCGATGCCTCAATTTATTCGACATGTTATTTATGCCCGGATAAATATAAGTCAATAAATGGAAGGAAAGTCGTAAAGAAGAACGACTTGAGTTGGCAATGCTATAGAATGTATATTTTCTTAATTCATTTAAACTCGCACAGATTTAATTACCGTGCAAGCCGCCTATAAAATATTCCAGATATATAAATTTAATATTATATCTCTGAAAATCGCTACAGCGGCGACGTAATCGTAATTTCATATCACTAAGCGGAGAAAACACGAGCAGAATATTACTAATTTATTTTTATTTTTTCAATTATAAAATGTATTAATAATATTGTGTATATATATATATATATATATATATATATATATATATATT